CTCCCCAATAATCGCAAGCCAAGTGCTATAAAGCGAAATAAACATATAATTTACATTTAAATCCACCTATATCGTCCATCAAAAACGCAAAATATATTAACCCCAAAAATCGCATCATTCGAAGAAAAAAATAAATATTACGATTATCTAAAATTAACATAAAATTATATTATTCTAAAAATACAAATTTCCATATTATCCTCCAAAAATCAATAAATTAACATTTATTTATATAAATCATAACTAAAGCCAATGAAATCGCTACAATATTTCGAATTCAATCCGTAATAAAATTTTTCTTCAATATCGTAGCCACATACGACCATCAAAATTCCAAATAACTACTTATTTTCAATTAAATGAAAAAAAAACAATATTCGGACATGTCACTTTTATACAATTTAAAAATGTCAATATAAAAAATAACTTAAATTTTAAAAACTTATTACTTAAAAAATAAATAAAATCACGAATCTACACCGTATTTTTAATTCCGAAACAAAAAATATTCCAAATTCCTTCGTAATACTAATAATACATTATTCGACATTCATTACATTATTCGTATCACCAAACCCCATTTTCATTACTCTTTTAATCCTCGCTTTAACACGCTTTCCCCAAGCAAATTCCGAATTCATCCTTTCAAACAACGCCTTTTCGCGGCCTATCCGCCCCCACACCCCCTTAATTCATTTCGTTCGATCTCTCAGTTGCGGGCCTCTTCAAAACATGCATTCCGTGAAAGATGCTACAATTGCGCCAGCTGTACTTCTCCGAGAAATTGAAGCAGATTCTCCCCTTCTGAACTCTGCCGCGCGAGCCACCAAGCCAGGGCCTCATAAAAAGCCGCTAACTACTGCTTTGTATAGATCAAAGATTGACCGATGTTTATGTCAGCGTGTTTGCAAGGCTTCAACCTAGGAAGCGAGCAGCTGCTGAGGAGAGATTCAGTGGATGATTTCATGCTCGTACTTTGGTGCTTGAACTATGTATATACTGTAACTATTTGCCATCGTTGTGACAAATCGAATGCCAGTTACAGAATTAATTGGACACCGCCAAGTAAATCTGGAGGGTACTGATGTGATGACTTTGGGTACTTTGCTACAACGATCAGGACTGGAAGAGCAGCAAGAAAGCTCGCCGGCGTGTCCCCAACGTGGAGGTGCCTATTGGAAGCGTTTGAAAGGTCAAACCATGTTAAACCAGTTGGGACATGGCTATTCCTTGGGTTGAAGAAATGAACCTGTTGGGATCCGAAGGCAGCCGCAGTGGTTGCTGCTGAAGCAAATGCAATGTCCAAGGCAGCGACAACGTTTCACGTACGACTTGCGTCCTCCGCCCGTTGTGTCTAGAATCTTCACACACACAATTGCCGGGGTTTTTGATCATTTTTGACCTATGTGTGCTGCCTGATGATGTTGATGCAGTCCGATGTTACCTCTCCGACAGGCAGCGGCGTCATCCACATAGTCATGCCCTGGGCGCTGAGTGGTGTTCCACGGTTCCATTCAAAATTGAGGCGGGCCCTACTGTGGCTGGCAGAACTTACTTTTTGCGCGCAGTTGCTGTCAGGAAGCAGGCAGCCACTGGGCGCTGACTGCTTCTGGAATTCATTAATCCTGAGATTGATTCTTGTCCGTCCGAATGAGGGTTGAAGGTTGTGAGAAAAACGAATCACTGATCTTCCGGTACATATTTTCCTATGTAGGTGCTAAAACTCATGCCCTTGTGCACGCCGGATGAACAGATACACGCAATATGGGGAAGATCGCAAGATCATTTGGGGAATGTCGGCTCATTGGGAAATGCATTCTAATTTACAAATCTAGAAAATATGTTTTGTTTGAAAAAGGAAATCACGGAGTCGGATGCCCAATGAGCCAACTTTGGAATAACGAAATTAGAATGAAATAATATATGAAATAAATGAAATATTGAATGGGAATCCAAATTTATAAATATGTAGATATAGAAAAAATATAGAAAATTACGAAAGCTGGCCAACAGGCTTGATCAAAGCCGGCGGACAATGAAAATGAACTCCCCCAAGTCTCACGCATCTGCTTGACAAAGTCTGCCCCGACCAACTCCAGCCAATGGAGGCACACCTTGTGAAGCACCACAGCAGCTGCGCAGGCTGCAGGAGCAGGTGCGGGAATATCCTCGGGGTTTTCCTTTTCATGATCCTCAAGCGTCAGGTAAGGAACTGCACTTTTCATGATCCACTTTTCATGTCAAGAACTGCACAATGGAATGGAAAAATGCGAGCGAGCTCTGCCTCCTTTGACACAGGCAACCGGACTACCAGCCCAGTGATCAGCTGAAGACGGAGAACGGCCACAGGGCTCTCAACTTCAAAGCATTCAGAAAGCAGCGAGCACAGGAACTGGTCACGCATCTGCTTGCCTTCCGAGAATTGAGAATATGCTTCACACAGGGGCGCAAACCGCCAGGACTGGTTGTACACATCTGTCTCTGATTGAGAAAGGTGTTCCGAAGCTTGTCGCAAACCATTGCCACAGCGTTGGGCAAGCAAAGGAGGCCCACTCTCCACCAGTCGGAGAAGCAAGGGACGTCCATGTTGCGCAGCAGCTTTGGTTCCTGCCAATGTTACTGCTATGATCCCAGGAATGGCAGAGGCAGGATGAATCACCCCCAAGTCATAGAGTGATCGGAGGCTTGCTGGATGGTCTTTTCATCAGCTTGTGAGATCAGCTCCATAAGCTCTGGCTGCAAAGTCGCGAGTTTCTGAGCTGCGACACTGGTAGCATTGTCCTTCTTCTTCGAAGGGCAATCTGCTTCCGCAGCTTCTTGATAACAGGCGACTAATCCGGCCAAGGTTTCCGTGATTCTGAAGCGCAAAGAGCAGCTCCCTCCATTGTTGGCAAGTCCATGTTTGAGTACTGAAAGCGGACTGGCGCCATTGTCCGAAATATTGAGGAAGCGAGGAAATCGCCTCAAAGCAAAGCCTAACGCTGGGATCATGACGGGCTTGGCAGGTGTGGGGCCACTCTGACAACAGCAGCAAAGCAGTGAGATTGCTGCCTTGGACAGTATCAGAAGTGCGCTTTTGGAGGCAACCTCGGCCATGGCTTGTCCCAGCAAATCCATGGAATGGGAATCGAGAAACTCCAGGATTGACCCAACAATCCAGGTATAGCGGCACACCTTCGCATGGGTCAGTGTGCAGGTACCGGCCAGCCCGTCTGACAGAATTTGCATGCTTTGTCAAAAGTGGCCCATGAGGATCTCACGTGCTGACGGTGACAAGAATTCCACCGCCACGGACAAGCATTTCACAACGACCCAAGCTAGCTGCCCCAAATCATTGATTGGTGCAGTCTCCTCATCCAACGAGGCAGGTCTGAAATTATATCGGTTTTATACAACAAACACATGTTTCAGTAAAGCCAGAAGATGATGTTGGAATCCTGAACACAGCCACCCGTGCGCACTTTATGTTAGGCTCCCGAGTGGAATTTGAATGCTTGGGCATCGCGTGGTCGTCCGCGGCCCAGTGTTGGCTTGTGTGTCATCACACCCTGACCTTACGGGTGAACATGGTAAAGCTGAAGCATTTTTTGAACGCGGTCCTGAGGAAAGGCGATGAAACGCACAAGCAAAACAAGGGGGCCAGAGGGTGCTCGAAGGTCATGAAAGGACAAGTGGTGTCAAAGCCAAGCAGTGTAAACAGCCCCACCTAGGCGCTGAAGATGCTTCCCGTCGTGTCCCAACCAACAAAGAAGTGAAATGCTCCTTGCTTGCACTGCAAGCGAAGCTTGAGGTCATTCGTCTTTCAGGTTGATTCCTTGCGCGCTGCAATCAAACCTCCGGTTCAAATAAAAGGACAGCAGCTGCAGCTGTCACAGATGGTCTCTGAGGTGCCACCAGTTTGTACCACAGGATGCAGTGGAGTGACCCCGCAAGCATTCTCTCCCGCGTGCGACGCATGAGCTGCAACCCTTTGTGAGTTGTTTTTCTGCTTTTTTTGTGTATACAGAAGGCTGATACAGCTCTGACGCAGCTTTCACATGCCAAACACAACCTCTACTTGTCGCTGAAACAGGGTTACTTAACGGTAATTCACACGACGATTGGCCCAATTTCAGCAATGGAATCATTGCTGTCTTTGGCGCGGAGCAATCCACTGGCTCATGTCCGGCGGCAGGTTTGGAAGACTCGTTGATAGGTCAATGCGTGTTTGTGTACGTGTGTCTAGTTGCGCAAGGAGGATGCACCAATAATAGTAACACACCTGTTCAGGAAGTTCAAGGAAGCATACAGTAGGAAGCTATGCCATCATGCCATCTATGCAGCCATACTATTACAGTAGTAATCACACAGGTAGTCAAAGCTGATTGCTTCCCGCTGTGTGGCCGAAGCAGTTGCAGCAGGTGCCATCGTCGCCGTTGCCGTCACTGCATCGGAGTCGTATGAGTTCTTAATGGTTCTTAGCTATATATATATATATATATCGCTTGTGTTGCTCCTCAAGGCCGTTTAGCAATGTGAATCTCCACATGCGAAGAGTCTAGCAATGGCGATGTCGTTTATCGTAACACTTGGCCTTGCTGAAGTTATTGGCCTAGTCAAACTGTGCAGCGCCTATATATATATATATATACAGTGTGTGTATATAAATATATATTATATCATCCAGCAGTAGAGACCCTGCAAGCGGTGTGAGGTCTTCGCGACGAAGCAGCTTTCGCCCGCCTTGCATCTCGGGAGCTGGTGACCCAACTGAGATGTCCTGAAGGCAACATGGCTGGAACATGCTGGAACACGGCGTGGTTCTGTAGGTGTTCTACCAAGTGCTTGTCATGGGTCACGCTGAAATATTTTGCTTATGCGAGTGAAACATAGCGAAACTGCAGCCCACGGCAGACTGATCGTCATGTTGTGAAGTCAGCTCATGATTCTGGCTGTCCGGTGGATTGTAGCCACCGTCGTCACTAAGTGATTTGACGCAAGGCGAGTGGAAGGAGGCCATAATGCCAAGAGTTGCGGAGCTTCGCCCCGCTGGGCGCAGCAAATTGTGTGATCCTTCCCCTTTGGTGCGCCGCGCGGCCTTCAAAGCGGTGAGTTCGTGGCTGGAAGAAAGCGCTGAGTGCTGTGGTGGAGAGGCCAGAGATTTTCAAGAAGCCGGAGACTTGCTGCGACGGCTTCGAGGTGAATCCGCACAGATCCGCAGTCAAACCTTGGCCGTGCTGGAGCGGGTGATTTTCTTCCAACGAACGTCAAGAGGCAACGGCTTGATCACAAAAACAATCAAGATCTTTTTGATCAATCTTGATATATCTTGATTGAAACTCTGTAGATGAGCCTAGCGTTGATTAGATTTGTGCACAATAATTGGCGAGTTTTGGACATTTTGCTTCCTCAGGTTGTAGATCGTCTTTGCACCTTGCGTGCACACCCTGGCGTCGGTGGAGCTGGCATTCGCGATGTCCTTGCAGCGCATTGTAAAGGAATGGAAGGATCAGATGCCAGGGTGGCCATTGCCCTATGCATTCTTGAGTCTTTGCCCAAGGGCCCAGAGCCAGATAAGTCAGCGCAGCTGGAGTTCTACCTCTCCATTCTTGCTCAGTTGAGCGTGGAGTGTCCGGAAGCTTTCCGCAAGAAGTTGGACCGCTTTGTGGAGTGGCTTCAATGCCCGAGTGGCTCCAAGGAATCCTCTTTGGCGTTGCCCATGGCTGCGTGCAACATTCTGGCACAAGTGCTGCCCAGCTGGGCCACAACTGCGTCAAGTCTTGCTAAGCAAAAAGTCACAGATTCCCTTGCAGGGAGTGGCCAAGGAGAGGCAAAGCAACGCCGCAGCCTGAACTTCTTATCATTCAAATTACCTGCGATGCCAAAGAATGTCAGAGAACATGGCCCTTTGACCCAGAACGGTCTTTGGCTCGCGCATCTTTTGTGAAGGTCTCACGCCCTAAACTCATTGTCGCTCAGGTATACAGTCTATGTTGCAGTAGGTTGCACAAAAAGGCCTTCTGGATGTGCAGCCCTAAAGAAGCTTCAAAAGCACCAACGCACACAATGGTAGGATATCTGATGCGCAAACATTGAAATAGGAGCTGCTTGCAGACAGCGCACTTCCTTGCAGTTCTCCGTCCGGCTTGTCAGCCCTAGTTGGTGCTAGCAAGCCGTTGTCAGCAGACACGGTGTCCAGGAAAGAGACTAACAAGGCCATTTGGTCACAGCTCTTGCTTTTCTTCTTGGCAGCAAAGGCCTTCAGTGCACAAAACTCGCAGTCCTGAAGAGGAGGCTGGGCATCTTTGTAGCATGTTGCACTCGACAGGTGCTTTGATTTTCAAGACAGGTCCAGTCTGTTTCAAAAACTAGAACATCATTGGCTTACTCATTGCTGCTCGTCAAAAGCGATTTGCCGAGCTGATGGTCCTGACCCACTTCAGCGCCGCAAGAGCCGCAGCGACTGGTTTGCGAGGCTTCTTTTGCCTGCATATAGTGAGGGCCTCTGCTGCTTTTGCTAGCAGTCGAGTTGCCTCCTCTCGTTGGGAACACTCCAAGTCAACAGTCCTGGAGGCACCTGCTACTCGGCTCAAGGCCAACACCAGGCGCAAGGCATACAAAGGTGCGCTTGCCCAAAAGGGTTCACGGCATGCAGTGAGGAGGTGTTGCATTAAGGTAGCCATTGCATCAGCTCGCTCGCACTCCAACAAGCTATGTTGAATCAGCATGGCGGCCAGGCACCCAGCTCGTGTGTCTGCAGCCGCAACCCGTTCCGCTGCCGCCTGACTCAAATCTTTGGCAGCCAAGTGGCAATAGGGAGGCGTTGATAGCACGAAGAGCCAAGGCCAAGAAAGAGGGGGCTTCCTTTGCCTTCCCTGAGGTCTTACTTTCCTTCAAAGGATTGACGAACATGGAGCTCAGGCTTGCAAGATGGTCAAACTCTGCCATTGCGCGACTCTGCGACACTGTTTCCGTGCATCCATATCCAGACAACGCCACCAACAAGTCCATGGATGCTTCACCCAAGGTCAACAGAGCCGTTTTGATGGCAGAAGACGTTGAAGATTCCCATGAGACAGCCAAAGACATACGCTGGCCTTTAGTGGATGCTGCTTTGTGTGCAAGGCAAGCAGCCGGCAGGGCGTTGCCCTTGAAGTGCCGAGCTGCTAGAATATGATGTATGCACCGGATTGTGCGGGCAAGACCACTGCAAAGGGTTGTGGCATCTGCAGCTTTTCCTTCGAGCAAGGTTGGCAAAGTGAAGCGAGCCTGCTGCCACAAGAAGGACATTGCACCCGCCACGGAGGCAAATCACATGCCTCCCTTCTTGGGCGCCGGAAAGCAGAAAGATCAAGAACTGTAGCTGCTAGTACGCAACCGGCGGCATTGTTCTGTAGCTTTGCTTGGGAGGCCTTGCAACGACTCTTCAGGTCTGCTGGTGTGATACACGCTCGTTCCAAAGCCCTGAAGACTTTGGCCAATGCCCTATCCATTTCGGCCACAGACCCCAGATCCTTCCCTTTCTGCTGACCTTTCCACGAGGACAGTTTGTCCTCCCAAATACTATGTGATAATTTCTGAATTGCTTCCAACGGCAAGGTCGACACTGTCTGCCCTTTGGCTGCCCACGAGTGGCAGGAGTGTGCCAAGGAGTCCACCAGATTCGGGATCGAGTCCGCCTGCTTCGCAGCTTTCTGTGCCTCAGGCATCTCCTCACACCCCCTCTTCTTGCAAGATTTGGGTGCTCTTGGCATGTTGGCCAACGACTTGACCTCGGAGAAGAAACGCCTTGTCTCCTTTGTTTCTGAGCAACACTACATCAAATACGCAACAAAGAAACATAAAGAAACGCTGTGACTGGTCAACCCTACCCACTGTAAGTGCCACACAGAAAGGAAGCGCAAGCAAATGCTCAGCGAGGTTTGAGATCTCAATGGCAGCCCATCGCTCGATCCAACAACAAGACAACGTTACACACCGCGTAATCATCATAATCAGAAAATCCCCCATCGAATTTCTGGAGTATGTAGGGGTGGTTGGTTTTGTAAAGAAAATGTGCTACAGAATCAACCACCCCAGGTTCGCCAACCTGAAAAGCTTTACAAAATCAAACCCCCCAGGACGCAGGCAAGGGACAACTCTCCAGCCGATATTACAAAATCAACTGTCCCAGTTTCAAGATACAGTGATTACAAAATCATATGCTCTCTGTCGACATGGCTCAGCGCAATTACAAAATCAACTTCCCTGGTCTCAAACAAGATACAAAATCTCAATCATTCAACCTGGGTTGGAAAAAACTAACGATTTTGTAATGCTGCGGTGCAATTTCATTACAGAATCAGGGATCCCAAGATATTTAAACAAAACCTAGATTACAAAATCACTACCCTCAAAGCTCGATGCATTACGGAATCAGGGACCCCAGGTGAACAGGTGAACCAAAAGATGAGGGCCTTGCTGCGAGGTGGTTAGTATGCAGCAGAGAGTTGGTCAACTTCGCAGAATGTTTTGCGCCAGTGCGAGACATCGATGTCTTGTTTTTCTTTGGAGCTTCCCAGAACATCATGACTCTTGTTCTTTCTAAATGTTTCCAAATTGCTTTTATATGCTTTTACTGGCCTGGGCAACATGCAATTTTGGGCGCTTGTGAAACACAGCCAGTCGGTCATTCAGCAAATTATGCGAATCGTGAAAAATTATGCGAAATATTGAGAAGTTACGCGACCATGTTCTACAGCAGCTCAACCCACTACAAAATCAACTGTCCATGCTTTACAGCAGGTCAATCGATTACAGAATCAACTGTCCATGTTCTACGCAAGGACAACCACCCCACCCTCAAAGTTGTATAGAATCAAGGACCCCACCCTCACCAGTGCGGCACTTTTGACATCCATACCAACATATCGATTACAAAATCAACAGACCCAAGAAAGAATGCTGCCCTTACAAAATCAACCACCCCACCCCCACAAAAACGGGCACCTGGAAACAAACTTTTTTCTTTACAATATCGAGGCTCTTTTTGTTACCCAGGTAGGTTGATTTTGCAAAGGAAATTTGAACGGGGATATCAGACAGCACCCTGAACCATTCTTCCCACAATCTTGCCCTTTCAGCCCAGCTTTTCTTTGAGCGTGAGTCTGACTGCGCCAAATAGGAGATGAGAAATGAGCCACTTTCAGTGACACCTTTCTCATTTGTCAGTCAGGAGAACCATTGAAAATCATTTCGTGGACCTGTCTGTTGGATTCGCTTCTCCCTGCTTATAATCAGATCGTCCTGTTGGAGCCTGAGCAGGTGAAAAAGCATCGCAACAAACAGGAGTCGCAAATAACTGGCTGGCTTGTTGGCCCTCTCATGCTGGGCCTGACCTGGGCAGCGGAGGCGGAGGCAGGGTCGGTAAAATAAACACTCCTTCCACGACTTTGCGTTGGGTCTGGGTCCTGCACTGCCTCCCTGGGAGTCAGGATAATACAGGATATATAAAGTAATCGGCTCTCTGCTTTCTTCCGAGCAACGGGTATTCCTTCTTGGGCAGGGCTGCTCGCCTACCTCAAATCGGAGCAAAAGAGAAAACATATGAAGTTTGCAAGGTCTACACTGGACGGTGCCTTTGGGCAACCATGCTTATGCTTTTCTTCAAAGCAGCTATGCTGGATGCTGTAAACTAGAAGGTGCACTTTCTGCAGTCTCAGTATCCGCCGCGTTTGCGGAGGATGGCGGCCACCTCCTGCTTGCCGTCTTTGATAGACCTCATCTTCTACCGCATCCGCAATTACAGTATAGATATATTACATAGACCTCTGTAATTGAGAATCACGGTCTACAGGAAGAACATGGAAAACAAGGTGAGCCCGCGGACCCAAAAAAAGAAGCGCGCAACCGAGGAAAAATAGAAAAACACACATTAGCAGGCCAAAACGAAGCATCAGCCCTTTTGAGGCTTCGTGGCAACCATGTTCTGGTGCGCATCCGTCCACCCCTGTCTGCCATATACACCCCCGTCCACCCCTTGGTCAGTTTTGAAAGCCCTCCAAAACGGTCATAAAACGATTGCAACATGGCTTCTGACAACCGTTCCAAGCATGGAGCCGCATCAGCCCCCTCCATGGTTCGTTCCAACCGTCCAATTTCATGCGTTGCGCTTTTGGCGCGCAACAATCCTGCCCCGACCTCCCGTCTCGCTCCCCTCCATCTTCCCTCCCCCGCCCCGTCCCCACCCACGCGCCTCCCGTCTCGCTCCCCTCCATCTTCCCTCCCCAGCCCCGTCCCCACCATGCACCTCCCGTCTCGCTCCCCTCCATCTTCCCTCGCCCCGTCCCCACCCTCCATCTTCCCTCCCCAGCCCCATCCCCACCCGTCTCGCTCCCCTCCATCTTCCTGGCCCAACCCCGTCCACCTTCACATCCATTTTCCGTCCCCGACAACGCACGCTTTGTCTCGCTCTTCCGCGGCACTAGCGACTAAACGAGAGCGCAAGCATCGGAGATGCTTTTGGGAAAAACACCTCTGAGGATCTTGCTGCTTGGAGTATCTCTGCTCCAGCACGGCAAGGCCCAAGGGCGTACGTTGATGAGCATCCAAGGCCTTGTGGCTGATGCAAACTAACAACTCGATGATGCTCAATAACAAAGAAGCAAAGGAAACAGTTGCCATCATACAGGTGAAGCTGACAAGGGTGTTTAGAGTTTAGAAGCTTAGAGTCACGTTCAATGGCGCAACAACCCCAAGCGATCCTATAGGAAGCAGGACAAAGCGTAACAGCGTCTTGCGCAACCAAGATTCATTTATCATACATTTTGGATGCTCCAGGAGTTTTTCCACCACCTTGTATACATCGCTTCAGCAACAAAAACAAAAAACATTCCAAAACATTGCAGCGCCTTGATACTGGAAGCCAGTTTCTAGGTGTAGTTTGATTTGGAACCCTTGCGCCCGCTGCCAAGCATCTTCAACATGGCCCATCCATGCTGCCAGGTGCAGAGGTGTTCGGCCATAGCCATCTCGTACCTTACACAAATCCGGTTGTTACTAGCTGCAACCCACCTTGCAAACTGTGAGACATACAGTCGTACAAAGAGCACTCTGCACTAATGTAAGTCCTTCATTTATCGCGCTGCAAGGGCTAGTCCACTTCGGACTTCACATACGCAGGGGACACATAATTCAAGTACCTTGACAGAACCCCCGCCGATCATTCTGTGTTTAGAACTTGGCAAATTAAATGGCATGGTCACCATGGTCCGCTTCTTTGCGCAAACTAAGTTGCTCAAACTAGACGAAAGGGTAGCCTGAAGGCGAACATAACAAGAATAGAAGCGATGTAGCTTGCACATGGTGTGCATACGCGATATAGAACGAAACGTTTTCAGTGAGGACACCAGCACTGAAGACATGGATGATGATGGTGATGATGACAATCACGCATGATGAACAGACCACCAGTTACAGACCAGTAGACCGATTTGAGACTTCACCAACTGTACATTTCCCCACCTGCATACTGCACACCCCCTACAACACCCCTATTTCCGCTCTTGCTGCGGACGCCTTCGTTCACGTCCCTTCCTCCAAATTGACCGGGGGAGTCTCCATAACTGGCAACTGTACATCTTGATGGGAAAGCAACAGCCGCCTCAACAGTCACCTACAAAGCAAACAGACTCAAAAGTTGGCCACCTGCAGCAGCACAGTGCCCACCACAGTGGCAAATTGCTCATAGAAGCCAAGAAAGCCAACAGAAGCCGTCAAATGCCATCGCAAGCCATCAAAAGCCACTTAAAAGCAAACAGAAGACACCAAAAGCCGCAAAAGCCAACCGAAGATCAAACGTCAACCAAAGCCACCAAAAGCGTTGAAAAAAGACATCCCAAAAAAGATTGAAGCGCAAATATACCACTTAAACAATACAATATGAGTTCAACACAAACATCTACAGCCAACGATATTTGTCAGTAGTAACACTAGCGTGACACCATCACCCATAGAACATAACGTGTCTCTCACTCCGTTTTCCTGGTTGCGTGAGCTCCGACTTCTCGACCTCACCCCATTTAGGGTGGGTTGGGTGGGCCTTTCTTTGAAGCCACAACTGCGTGTCCGACACGTAACGCTATCGGTCGAACTTTTCTTTCCTTCTAGCTACTACGTGTCCCTCACTCCGTTTTCCTAGTTGTGTGAGCTCCGACTTCTCGACCTCACCCCTCTTCAGTTACCAAGGTTGAGTGAGTCGAAGCTTCTCCGGAGGTGGTGTCTTGGAAGAGCCAGAGGACTTGGGTTTCGAAGTTGTCTTTTCTTTTACTTCTTTGTCCAAGGCAGTTGCCGCCGCAACCATCTTCTTGAGGACGAGGAAGCCAAGGTTCTCCGTCCACTTCCATGCGCAGGTCGGGATCAAACTTCCCGAACTTTTCTTTACTTAGGTCGTCCGCATCTTCAGTCTGCTCTCTGGGTATCCAGGAAAGACTCAGGTCCAGGGAGTAAGAAGTCTAGCTGCGCCGCCAACTCCGTCGCCTCCAGGGAGCCTGCGGTCCGAACACCATGATGGCGACCGTCACGGCTAGAAGCTCAGAAGTGGAGATCGTCCGAAAAGGCTCACCTTTTAGGTACAGGAAAGGTGCGTTCTTTCTGGTCAACTTTACGTGGAACCAGCGCGCCTGCATGGTCGTGTTGGTGCTGTAGGTTTCCCAGCCGCCGATGGCGACGCCGTCCTGGTCTGCCATGGCGTCCACCCGGAAGATCTCACCCAGGACTTTCGGCGTGGGAGAAAGTGACTTCATCGGGGTTTTGCTGACCATCTCCTGGAAGAAGGCAATGGCCAGTTTTACCGCCATGTGGAGCTCGAAGTGGTACTCGAGCAATTGCAGCATATAGTGGGGCCAAGAAAGGCCTGGCCACCTTGATGGCTCCTGACAAGAACCCCATGCGACCCAAGCCGGCTTTGAACTCTCTGCCCAACCGAACAAGGTGCTCTTCCCGCAGTACGACGATTTGGAGGCACGCTCGCCTTCGACGTCAAATCGGTTGGTTCCGGCGCAGGAGAGAGACTGGGGGCTCCAGGCCTGTACATGTCGGTTAGACAAGGAGGAGGAAGTGTTCTTGAACACCCGAGGCACCTTCATGGTTGCTTCAGCAGCTTTTTGGTGGGGTCGACTGGCGGGGCTTCTCTTTCGGGTTTTCCACCAGGTGCTACCTCGCGATGCCTCACTGTACCTCATGCTGTTCGCAGACGATGGGCTGCTCCTCGCCTCCGGCGAGCACTGCCACACCTTGATCTTTGCCTTGTTCATCTACCTGGAGGTGATGGAAGTTCCCCTCTCTTGGCCCAAGACCAGGGGAGGATTGGAGACCGAATGGATTGGCTATACAGTCGACTTCAAGAACTGGACCTTGAGCATCAGCAAACGAAAGGTGGATTGGCTCAACACCTGGAGCAATTGGGCGATCTCGGAGGGTCGCATGCTGGTCGAGGTGGGTATTGACCCGCAGCCCGGGGGTTCCATCGTGAACCACCCTGACATCGCTCTACTGCGAGCCACCTGCAACTCGTCCCCTTGGCCTCGCCCAGCGTGACCTTCACCGTCCAACCTTTCTCCAGGTCCGATTCGACGTGCGCTCTGACCTTCTCTATGTGCTCCTTCGCCGAGGTGTAGTTGCCGCGGAACTCGTGTAGGTCTGAATCCTCCCACCTGGCCGGTTGATCTTCAGCTTCCTTTTTCTCCCTCTTGTTGTAGACGGAGCTGACCCAAGGTATCTCACCTCTGGCGCCGAGCGGAACCCCTGTCGCCGCCATGCCCTCCAAGAACTTCGAGTCCGGGTCCTGCACCACCTCAGCCCAGGCACGCAATCGCCGAAAGTGGATCTCAGACGACCTGTCCGTTGACCTACGATGTGGATCAAAACCAAGGCCCACCAACAACTGATCCATCCTTCCCTTGAGACCTGTAACCTGGAGAGCCCAAACTGGCGCTTGGGCGTATATTATGCACCCAGAGCAAAAAGAAACATCCATGGGCGTTTCTCGGGCTCAAGAAACACCCACGGGCGTTTCTTTCACAAAAGAAACAACCCGGGGCGTTTCTTTCACAAAAGATACACCCGACCCCTGGGAGTGCTCCGCTACCATGGGTCCGAAAACGTGCACGGCGCCACAACGAGAGCACAGTCGCGCCCACCAGATTCTGCGAGCCTGCGCAGTCGAAATGGACGAAGATCTCGAGGTGAATGAATTCCTACTTAAATTCACTATATATAACCCAATGAACATATGGCCTGGAGAGCCCAAACTGGTGCATGCTTGGGTGGGTGTATCCTGTATGCTTCTTTGTTGCGAGTTGTTGGGAGCTGCATTGCGCACATGTGTGTTTTTCCATAGCGCGCATTTTTAAAAACATGTTTTGTCTTCGTGTTTTCGTTTGGGTTTGTTCTTCGTGCTTTCATATTGCATGCATGCATGCGTTTGCAAAGCACAGCGTCGACGCATCTTTTCAATCCATTGATTGGTCTGCTTAAACGTCCTTCAAAGCACGAAACTGCAGGGCCCTCTTCAAACAGTATCGCCTGGCCCATGCTTTGTGGTAAGTGGAACCGTGGCAACTTTTTGCTACTGAGCGAGTCTTGCCCATAAAGTCTTCGTCCAGGAATGCGGAAAGGTGCTGTAAACATATCTTGTTCTGGGAGAACACATCGACCAAGTGGCGCAAGTAGTGGGATTTTAAAATTCACTTCATTTTTTGCAAACTCTCGCAAGAGAGTCGCTGGTAACACGCAAGGTGAAGACGGAGCAGCCAAGTGACTTCTGCAACGCACGGCGCTGACATGATCACGCATTTGTTCAAGTTGAACGTGCTTAATGCCACATCCAAGGTCCAGCACATTGTTGCTCTCAACTGCGCATGTCGTTGCAACTGCACCGGCGCATTGCACGCCAAAAGACACATAATGTGTGTACAAAAACCCAATAGCGTTCTTGCTTTGGCAGCCTTGACTCTGGAGTCGAGAATTGGATACGGCCAGTGATCATAAGATGGTCGGCCCAAGCGAGCTTTCGTCAGCTTGCCCATGTAGAGCGCCATACCGTGGCTTCGCGCCCATGCTTCCGCGTGTTTGCTGAATAACCTCAATATGTCATTGTGGTCTTGTAGACCGTAAAAGAGCCCCATCGAACCGTCTTGAAGGGAGTCGATCAAGACTGATGCAACAATGTCGCGAAGAGTCCCCAGATGCACTATGTGCATCAAGTCGAGGAGCCGTTTGCTCTTCTCAAACCTGGGAACAACTTTCCAAGGGCTAGGATCAGAAGGCGAATCTTCCATTGTCAATGTCCAACGCCACAACGCTCTCAGAGTAAGGTCTCCCCAAGACAATTCAGGGCTCCTTTTGTCCGAAGTGGCCAGGCACCAATCGCAGCATGAGTTGCATTTGAAATATCTGCCAGTTTTCTCCAGGAAGTGCGAATACATGTGCGCTTCCATGTCGCCCTTCCAGTAACAGAAGGCCTGAGGTTCTGATCGCAAGACGATAGGAAACAATTTTGAAGGAAGGTGCCCCAGAAACGAAAGGCATGTTATTGCAGCCTTTACCTCAGTATCCTTTTCAAAAAAACTTCAAAAATGGAACCACACGACAGACTCTTCAAAGAAACTTAAAAGAACAGAAACACACTTTCAGGATAGCTGCTCCACGCAATGGCATACGTGTCCCTGCCAGTTTGTCGCGTTCAGAGTCCACAGAATGGAACTTGCCATCATGGTCCACAAAGGCCCATTCACCAATTTCCAACTGCTTCAGGTCCCATGCAAGGATTCTGCAAATTGTTTCTCGAGTGGCCTCTGTAACTTTGAAGTTCCAACGCCGGCTATACACTGTCTTGTGAGCCATGAGTCGGCACGCTTGCAGCCACTGGACCATGACCAGATCGTACAGGTACTGCCTGAGCCATTGCGAGACTAACGCAGCATGACTGACTGCCACACAACCCCATGTATATTCTGGGGCCAAAATGTTGATCTATTTCACAAAAGCGCCGGCAAAATGTGGAACTGCATCCTCGTGCACAATGATTGGAACGTGTGTCCCTGCAAGTTCCGGCACACCAGAAGCAGTCCATAGAGCTGCCAAGTCTTTGTCAGCACCCAAGCACTCGTGGATCACCTTAAAACGCTCAAGTGCCAATTCG